CTAAATGAGAAAGAGCTGGGAAAGGGGAACATCTTTTTATTCCAGGAAAAAAAAAAGGCCCAAGTTGTTTTGGTCATTTTAGCAAGTGGAGAATAACAAAAGAAAATAGGATGTAAATGCTCATTGTTCTTACGGATGTGCAGCTCTAAATAGTTAGGATCCTCATGTGCTGAGATTGTAACCAGAAATAATTTGAATTTGTAGCTACATTGAATTGAGTGCTAAGAGAAACAACATAAGCCCCATTTTGGATTGTGGGAAAAAATAACTTCATAAAATGATGGGATATAACTTGCTGCTGCTTATTTTTCAGACCATCAGGACCCAGGGTTGACCAGTGAGAGATTAGGGTGAGGCAGACTTTGGAGCCAATCTCCACTGGCTTGGCTGTGTGGCTTTGGACAAACCACTAGGCCTCTCTGAGAGTTTCCATCTTCCTTGTCAAGCAGATGATAACAGTTCCTGCCCCACAGGGGCTCTGCCAAGATCAAGTAAGAAAGTGCATGTGAAAAGCAAGTGTCCTGGGGTCCACAACTGTGAGCACATGGCAGGGGGAGTGGGGGGATGGCAGTGCGGATGAAGGTCACAAGGCAGGCTGGTGATGGAGATGGTGACGGAGCTTTGCTGTCCCTCCCAAAATCAAGAACCCAGCACACATGTTGTTTGTTTACCAGGATGACTTTCCCCGTAAGGAAAACAAAAAGCACAGACCAGGTTCTGAAAGAAGTTCAAGCAAAGCTGAGATGTTAAAAAATAGCAGACTTCTGATTCTTTGTCTTATTTTTCATTTTCCTCCTCTTATTTCATACCACACTGCACTATGTTTATAGAGGATTATTCAGTTGTCTGATCTCTCCATCAAACGGTCGTGAAGATTGAATAATATCAACATTAAGAACCCTGATTCCAGCCACTCTGGAGTTTTCACTGAGAACCAGAATGCGTCCTTTCAGAGTACCAAGAATCCAGTCTGGGTACATACCGCTTTTTCTCTTGAGCTTTTCCCTCTATTTATTTATCTCTGGTTGAGGAATAGAGAATTTTCAATAAAGGATATTCATTTTAGTAACTAGGGAAATTCTGATCATGGTTTTTACTGATGGTTTTCATTGTGTGCATGTTTTGTGGGAGCCCCAGGCAGTTTTGCTACAGATACGTTTGTATGAGGCATGTATTTCCAAATTCTCATAGAAGAAAACCATTACCCAAATTTACATATGGGTGATTTGGTAATTTGTGGAATAATAACTTGTGGTGAAGTAAATCGTCACAGAAAACTGAATTGGGACCTTGGAATACCAAGTGGGTCTCCTAGGGCGACGGCCGAAGCCGCAGTGCGGGTGGGATCTAGTGGCGAGGAGTAGCTGCAGCGCCAGTTGGTATAACTGACGGGCAGAAGCCATCTGGCGATGCTTTTGCATGAATGTGCTGCACAGAGTGATTAAAGCCTCCGACCACACGTACGGTGTTCAGAGAAATAATAGGGAAAAGTTGACGTGTCATCATTGAGGTGTTTTCATATTCTAAGTAATTGATGCCAATCTCTCAGCTTTCCTTTCCCTGTTTCCCTCATTTGAGCCGTTCTAAACTAGTGACAGGTTGTCAGGGTGGGTCCCCATGACCTGACATTATTTGGAATCCTTGAAACAAGGAAGGAGTGAATGTGACTGCCCCCATCCCACAGCCCCTCTCTGATCAGTGACAACAATTGTGAACCATATTCCTCTTTTTTTTTTTAAATTGATCCAATTAGTTTGGTCCATGCTTTCCAAATTGGGTTGCTTTTCTGTAATAACGATTCTGTGTTTGTCATCCACTTATATATTAAGCACTTGCTATGTGCCAGGCGTCATACTAGGCTTAGGGATGTAGTTTCAGCCCAATGGCAGAGGAGACAAGTCAGCAAAATCAGGGCAGAACAAGGGGCGTCCTGGGTCAGAATTCTGGCAGAACACAGGAGAAACATTTACTGGCCCAGGGGTGGGCAGAGAGAGAGGGGGGGGGTGGCTTTTGGGGGTGAAAACAAGTAGGTGCTTCTTCTTCCTCTTTTATGCTTTGGGGAATAAAATGGTCATTTAATGAAATCCATCTCATTCAAACTATGTAACTATAGTTTCAATAGGATCTAAGAAAAGAAATTTGGGGCACAATTTTTAAAGATATTCCAATCACTTCAGAAACATAAGAAATTTTATAAGGAAGAATGTTATATACACCGTAATATTTTAATGCAAATTCTAAATGATCGTTTCCAGACATATATCCCCAGAGACTTTAAAAATCAGAAAGTAGAATACTAAACTGGAAAGAATGAGATTCTACTCGCCCTCCCCTAAAGGAAGTGTGTGCTGTCTGAGTGTCTGCACCTCTGTCTTCTCTCCAGGCCCATGCCTAAAGCTGAGACTCACAGAATCAGCTGCTTACTGGACATTTCCAAGAGAATGTCTCCTAGCACCTCACACTCAACACGGCCAAGGCCAAACTCATCGCCTCCTCCCCCTCCTGTTAGAATTACCCCATCTCAGCTGACGGCTGAGGTTCCTGTTAGCTGTCCCCTTTCCTGAATTTCCCGTCCCACAGGCTCATGTCCTGGTCTGGCCCTTTGTTTAGATGCTCACACCAGCCTCCTAACTTCCTGCTTCCTGTTTGTCTCTGCCCTCAAAGTCTGGCCTACAATGGCTGTCAGTGTGGCCTGTAGCTCCAGACCTTGTATCTGCTCAGGTATTGGCACACTTAACGACTCCCCACTGTGTGGGCAAACGCAGTGATACTCGCCCATCAGTAGGGTTGGTCCCCAACCTGCCTGTCTGAGCACCAGCATGTCTCCCTGCCTCGAACTTTACACCCTGAAGGCTGGGATCTCCACGTAGCTTCACCTCTCTGCACCTGTCCTCCACTAACATGTTGTTTCTGTACCCTCCATGCATTTGAGAATGGAGTTACCTCTATCTGGAGAGTTCTCTTCCCCTCCCCACCCCCCATCTCTCACCTCACTACTTGCCTGTCACCTGTCTCCTCCTCCCCCACCTTTAGTGACTCATTGGGTCCCACCCACCCCAGACTGGGTTAGGAGCCTTTCCTTGAGCTCCCACAGTGCTTTGGGAAGTTGCTGTCATGGACAGCTGGTGACAGAGCCCTCTTTGGGTCTGCCCTTCACCAGACGGTGAGCTCTTAGAGTGTCTTATTCCCAATGTCCAGTGCAATAAACATGGATTAAATGAGAGAGTTTTGAGGTGTCACTCTTAACAGCAAAACAAATAGAAAACAGCAAAATCAACTCCTGGCATTTTATTTTCTGGTATAGGGAAGAACAGAATTCCTTTGTTAGATCGGCTAATCTAACAAGCAGAGAAAAATAATGTTTTGTGGAATTATGCATTCATCTTCTGTTTCCATTTGCTGACATCCAGAATTCATCTAATTGGATTTTCTCCTTGGGGAAATTAAAGGAAACGAGTCCATTGCTGTCACGTTTCCAACATAGTCATTGTCTACCCACCTCTCTCAGTTTTCTCCAAGGACCTTTGACTCCCAGCCCCTCTTAAACTTACATTTTGGAAAGCCTCAACCGAGTGCCTTCTCAGTTTTTCCCATGTCTCTTTGGCAAGTCCTTGCACCTAAGAAGGATACAGGACATATACTTCCTAGGGCTGGGAGGGGATGGCCCTAGATGAAAAGAGAATGTGCTGGCAACGTTCTCCCCAAGTACAGTCATCCATCCACCCGTCCGTCTGTCCGTCTGTCCGTCCATCCATCCATCCATCCGTCCACCCCTCCGTCCATCCATCCACTCAGCACATACGTATCCAGCACTTAGCCCAGCGCCTGCAGCAGGCACTCAGTAACCAACTTGTGACCAGCTTGTAAAGACAGCGGCACACAGCAGCTAAGAGTGCAAGTTCCGGAGCTGAACCCCTGGGGGCTGCCATACCCGTGACCTTGGGTGGTCCCCTTAACCTTCCTGTGTCTTGGATTCCCTGTTTAAATTGGGATAAAAATAGTATCTGTCTCACAGAGCCAGATGCTAGATGCTATGAGGATTACACGAAATACAGTTAAGGTGTTAGCACGGTGCCTGGTCTGGGGCCAACGAGCCCCACTCTGCTGGTGTCCTTGAGGGGGATACACACAAGTAAGCAAAGGGGTGTATGAATGAAACAGGAAGCCGAGGGGGTTCTGTGGTGTGGGGCACACTGACAGAGGCACCTTTAAGTGAGAAGGTTGGAGAAGGCCCCCTTGCAGCGACATTTAAATTACTGTCTGAACAATGAAAGGGAGCCAGCCCCATGAAAAGCCACGTGGAGAACGTTCCAGGCACGGCAAAGATATACAAGACCCTAAGTGGGGTGGGGTGTGGAATGTTCTAGAATGAGCCAGAGACAGTGTTGGCCAGGGAGGAGTAAGCCACAGGGAAGCAGCGCTGGGAAGGTGAGGCTGTATGCACCTGGGAGACAGTGGAAGACGCTGGGATTTCCTCCAAGTGCAGTGGGGAGGCATTTACACAGGGGATGTCTGGACCCTGGGGTGGGACCTGCACCCTCTGCCACTTCCCCAGGCTCTTCACAGCCTGAGGAACCCTGGGGCAGATGACTGGCACTGAGACAAAAGGACCAGAGATGGGATGCATCCTGTGACACAGCAGGTGGACCATGGGCACCCAGGTGCGGAGCCGCCCTGGGAGCACTGGAGTCATGGGGCTGAGGGCTGGGGATGCCTCGGGGGCCCCGGCGCCTGGCTGTCCTCCGTCTCTACCCCAGTCTCTGTAACACCTGTCACACCTGCACAGAGCTGCTACTGCACCGAGCTCCTTCTCCAGGCTCGGAGTAGGACAAGAGGCACCCAGCAGCAGTGTCTTGACTGCATGGGGACATGCTCAGGCTAAACTCCGGAGCCCTGGTGTCACCCCCTTGCAACCACAGGAACATACGATAGTGTTCAAGAACTCTCCAGAGCTCAAAATATGCAATGGTATTTCCATTTAAGTGTCATGGGGACAACAATGAAAAGCAGTAGGTTTTTGGAGGCAGAAATATTCACAGGTCTTTGTGTTTCTTCCTGAGTCACATTTTACAAGCTGGTAATTCATGTTACTGCTGCAAAACCCCAAACCTCCTTTGGGTCACAAGTTGGTCATCTACCAAGGGCTCACCTCCTCCAAAGCCTTGCTCTCCCGGCAGATTTTCTGCATCTCTCCAGCGTGAAGCAGGCCTGCTCCCTGGACCTCCATGTGGACTGGACTTCAGTTAGAAAGCACGCGTTCCTCCTCTGAGCATTCAGATACCTTGTCCGTTCGAAATTAGAGTCCAGCATTGTTAAGAATGGGATTACTAAACTATTCACAAGATACGAGATAAGTAAAATAATTACTAATGAATAATAAATAATATAAGCAATTATATGAATTTGAATTATATTAAATTTTCTTTTTCTCCTCCCTCTGTGATCGTGAAGCTGACCAAGCCCCCTTCCTCCCCAAGAACACTGAGGCCGTTAGAGGTCCTACCTGCCCGGTTGGTGGCTCCCGGCTCCTCCTTGCGGCATCGATCTGCTGCTCCTCTGTCACTTTGTCCCCTTTTCTGCAGCCTGTCCCTTTAGACGCGCCACAGCCCGCACATCCCCGCCTTTGGCACTGCGTCCCATCCTGCCGCTTCCCTCCGCAACCACCCTCTGGAAAGATTTGTGGACTGTCCCTGTCCCATCTGGTCTGTCTTGGCCCACCCCTGCTGCTGCCCTGTCCAGGCCACCAGCCCCCCACGCCTCCCTGGAGCTCTCTGCCCTGTGAAGGGCATTCGCCGTCTCCGGCTCCCAAGCCCTCCTCCTGGGCCTCGTGGCCTCCCCCACCTGCCCCTGCCCACCTCCCTGCCTCTGCCCCGCCTATCCCAGCAGAGCTGCGGTCCCCTGGCAGTGAGCCTGCCTGGGGGATGTGACAGCTCAAAGGAGGGACACGTACGAGTCGGGGGTTTGAGACCAGGCCAAGAGAGGGGTTGGCCTCCTCCAGCGCGGTCTGCGCCCTCGTGAGCAGAGTCAGAAGTGGGGGTGCGGGAGAATCGTGCACCTTGTCAGCGTGTGTGAGAGATTTTCTGTGTTTCATATTTTTGGCACACTCTTCTCAAACACTTGCCGTTAAATACAGCACAACTCAGACCCTTTGTAAGGACCTGATTTAAACCAGGCATATCCTAATATATCAAAATCCGCATCAAATGGGGGAGATTACTCTCAGTTCTGGACTTGGCCAGGGGAAGGTCTAAAGGAATCTGACTGGGAGGAAAGCGTTTCTCACCCGATACGTTTCCAGCATGCCCGCTTCTATTCTTCCCTGCATATTTACCAGGACTCTGGTTGCAAAACTCCACCCAAACCAGCCAAAGCAGAAGAGGGTTTATTGAGGCAAAGTCAGCCCCGGGCACCTGGAAGGCCTCCCCATCGGCCCTTTGTCGCAGCGGAGCACAGGCTGCGTCTTCCCTGGGCGGCGCCCTCTATAGCGGAGGGCCAGGCTGAGGGAAGCCCTGGGAGTATGTTCTCGGGGCTCTCAGAGCAAAGAGGAAGGAGACCTCTTCCCCAGACCCCAGCCCAGAGCATGCTTAGGGGAGATTGGTGTTTGTAGCTCAAGTCCCAGGCCAGATCTGGGTGGGAAGGAGAGCCCCCCCAGCAGAACAAAACGGCCTAAGCCCCCAGCCATGCTCCTGTTTGCCCTCCCTACCTCTGTGACACCCCTTCCCACACCGGGCTGTGTTTCCTCCACCTCCCAGCGGGCCGCAGTGCCCTATTGACCTTGGCGTTCCAGCAGCTTGTATAGCACCCAGCATGCAGTACATGCACGGGAAAATACTTGTTGCAGTTACTCCGACAGGGATAAAATAGTGTATATCACAAAAGAAATTGCGAGATCATTTAAAACCTGAAGAAATCCATGCTTGATTGTCATCAACAAAGATCTAGTAGACTGCATACAATGTTGGTTAGGATAAATAAGGGATTTTCTCCTCTTTCAGTCGTCTTAGACATTCAGTATTTCGGGTGTGTCCAAAACCATTTTTCTTCGCCTCCTGCTTTTAACACAGCATTGTTGCCTGAAACTCTCCTTGACATTCTGATGTCAACAGCTGGTCCTCTCACCTGTGGGAGAACCTGGGGGGGCAGTAGTGGGGATCCAGGATTACTTTCCAGCAGGCGGCTTTCCCATTGATTCCAGATAGGGTAGCCCTGTGACTCCAGGCAGGCAGCTCCCCCACATACGACTTGTAAGAGAATGCGCATGTGTATGCATGTGCGAGCATTCCAGCATGCGTGTGCTGTGCCTGTGTGTGAGCGTCAGTGCGGGCACACACCTGAAGGTAGCAGGAATGAGGACGGAGGGGGGCTCCACATGCTCTTCAAAGCACCACGCCTGGATGTCACTTGCCCGTGTCCCTTCCCCACTCCCTGGGTAACCTGAATAGGTGGAAGCCCCTCTGGGAGCCGCACTGGGTCACCTGTGAAATAAGGAGGCTTCCGACCCTGGCTGCCCTGTGGCCTAGACATGCACAAGCAGCATGTCGATGTGATTCTCTAATTCTGTTCCCATCTTTTCATGTCACTTGTATTTTTCCACAGCGGTCTCATTGCTAGCGGTTTCACAGAAACCCACTACCTGCAAGATGGCACTGACGTCTCCCTCACTCGAAATCACACGGTGAGTCCTGCATGTTTGCACTGCCATGACGCTCTGCAGTCAGATCTGTGCTTATGCTTTGTGGCTGTTTTATCCCAAGCAAAGTCGCCTGCCCAGATCCTTCACTCAGGCCCCAGGAATGCCTGCACGTCACCTGGCATGCGGGCACTGGCATTCCATCCTAGCCCCAGGAAGACAGTCAAGGCAGGGACGTCAGGACAGTCCTGGGATAAGGCTTTATGGCGGGCTGACGGTGAAACCCCAGCAACGGCAGGATGCTCCATGGCAAATCCTGTCTAGGAAACCCAGCCAAAGGGAGAGAGAGATGCCTCGGAGAGCAGTCAGCCCTGGGCTGAACTTGGCCGACTTAAACTTTCAAATAAAGAAACCCAGAGGAAGTCTGACTCTGCTTAACCTGCTATTATGAATGTATCTGCCATGTGAGTTTAATTCTGTATCGTGATTATCACTGTGGTATGACAGTAGCACCTCTCAGCCAGCTTTCCTGGTATTTGAATTTTTATATGTAACTTGGACTGGATGTTAATTTTATTTGTTCCTTGAACAAAATGCTGACTCTGCTTGGCCGCACATGTGACTAGAGGGGTTAAAAGAGTTGCTGCCCTCTGAGGACCAGGAAAGGTGCTTGTTCTAAAGAGCTATGGACATTTGTTTTAAAAAGAAGAAGCTTAGAGGAAAGCATTGCACTTGTAAGTGCATTGTATTTTCTCAGGGGTGGGGACAAGAGCGGTGGGCATCCACAATGGAGAACCCCCAAAACTTTGGCCCCCAGAAACTGCTTCCCCTGTGAAAAAGGGACCCAAAAAATCCCTAGTCTAAAGAAGGGGGCAACAGAGAGGATTGTCTTCAGATATCCTGGACTGAGGAAAGATTTCATAAAAAAATAGAGAAATGGCAACCCCAGCTCGCCTCTTACGCATGAATTTGGAATGGGGTAGACGGGTGTTCAGGTTTCTAATACCTGCACAGGAATGCAATCCCAGGCAGTATATTAACCTCAAAACCTATCCCAGATCAGCAACCTGTGGTCCCACGGTGCCAAGCTGAAGGCGACCCAAAGTAGTTCTACAGGAATATTTATACAGCCCGGATTACATGAGATGCCCATGCAGAAAACAAAGAATAATAAAAATATTAAAGGTGAGCCCCAAATCAAAATTACAAAACACACGAGGAAGAAAGACCAGATAAGTGAGGGTCAGCATACAAGAGAAATAATAGAATTAACACCTTCCGGAGTATGAGGTAATTGAAAAAAAAAAAAGAAAGAAAAACAGAAAAAACATTAAATATTTTAAAGAGAACAGAATAGACCTAATAGAAATTCAAGAGTGAAAATACAGGGGAAAACTTAGGAAAGAAGCAATATTTAAACAGAGTGTGATGAGAATGATTCTAAATCTAAGAAAGACCTGAGTCCCAGGCAGGAAGAAGGAAAAATAAACCCACTCCAGGAGGGCTTGTAGTAAAATTGCAGAACACCAAAGATAAAATCTTAAAGCCACCACAGAGAAAAGAGAGATTTGTACTAAATAGCAAGCCAACAACTGACTTCTCGTTAGTAGCTATGGAATTAAAACTTCACAGAGCTGAGGGGAAATCATTGTCAGTTTCAATTCTGTACCCAAACTATTTCACAAAAATGAGAGTGAAATACATTTTCACACAAAAACAAGAGGATTTACTACTCTCAGATTCTAACAGAGACTATCTACGGCAGGAAAACTACCAAACACCTTAGTAAGAAGGAAATTGAACACAAGGGGCAGGGAAGGATGTCAGAGGTAATAGTACACAAAATAATTGCATGGGAGTACATCTGAACAAGCTATTTAAAATAATAATCACAACAGTAATGACTGAATTTAAAACAAGGTAAGTAGATTCAAAACAGTTTAAGAATTTGTTGTACTAGAGGATAATAAAAATGCTGATTGTATTTATATTTTAATAAGTAAAGTATGTGCCTTGTAAATTTAAGTACAACCATGAAAAAAATAGAAAAGCAGAATGTATAACTCCAAATAACAGAGGGTGAGCAAAAATAGTATATCAACCTAGTAGGGGGCAGGAAAGAAAGGAGTTTTCAAGAGAAGAAGAGTAAATATGAAACACATCAAAGTAAGATACAAATGTATCAGCACATTAATCTAATTATATGTAAATAGGTTGAATCTGTTGCTGAGCAGCTGCATCTGAGGAAGTTCTCTGCCAGTAGGTGAAACTTCAGCGTGGACAGGAGAGGGTTTTTGACTCTGGACAAGAAGAAAGAATTCTCGAGCAGGTCAGAGGAGTAGGGGCAAGGAAGGAGTTCGCTGAAGTCGGAGTAGCAGGGACTGGCAGCAGCCTTGCAGGCAGCTGAGAACGAGAAAGTACAGAGGGAAAGACGGAAAGTTCGCTGAACTCTTTCTCAGCCTAGTGCAGATTCTCTTACCAACCCCCGAAGCTAGGGTCACTGCTTGGATCTGCGTGGTGTGAGGACTAGCATCTACTACTTTAGGATTTGGAGGAGCTGCAGAGCATGGGATAGAGTGAGATTATGTTCTGAGAACTTCTCAAAGAAAGGAGGTTTTTAGGCAGGCTACTTACTAAGAGGCGATGGTGCAGCTATAGTTCCGTCCGGGTCACGCAGGTGACAGGAACTTGCAGGCCTAAATCAGAGCTCTCAGCAGCTCTTCCCTACTTACCAGGAGTAAAGCGGAGACAGAAGGAAGACTTGGCAATGAAATAAAAAAGCAAAGAGATAAAATGCAATAGTTTGAGCAGAGAGAAGGCTTTATTTTTAAGTACTCACTTAAAGAAAGGAAAGTGTGGGCGTCTTCAGAGAGGAGGCGGGCTGAAAGGCTGGGGGTTCCCTCTTTAAAGTCTTTCAAGAAAGGGGCAGAGGGCAGTGGGGCAGGGATTGCTGGGTGTAGGATTGACTTGTGGTCTCATGATTGTAAGATAAATTGTAGCCGGAATAAGAAGGCAAAGACAGGCAACAAATGGCCAGGTAATTTATTTAAATACCCCCGGGTGAGGTTCTGTGGCCTTCTTGTCAGAGGCCAGAGAAGTCACCCCCGGTTGAGGAGGTGGGGGGCTTATAAGGGATTAGGAGAGGGAGGAGTGGGCAAGCTGTCCTAGGGGGCGTGGAGAGGTATGATTGACTAAAGGTGACATAATAGTCAACTAGAAACTTTTTTCTTTCCAAGAGGGAGGAGGCTGACATCCGGGTCCCAGTTGGCACATCAGGATGGAATTCAGGGAGAGCTGTCCCCTTTCCATGTAAGGCACGGACCTTGGGGTCTGGTCTGTTCTCCCCCTATGGCAACTCTCTGTTCTGTTTGCATGTCCTTGTTTTTCCTTCCTCCAGCCTAACAATGATGTCTCTCTCTAGTGAAGGACATTATGTCCTAATCTGTAGTCAGTCTTCTAGAAAATTCTGTAAGATAAACTTAACACAAAGAATTTATTGATCCTGTTCTTCTCTAGGATAGTGGTTACTTTCAAGCACAGGGAACATATCAATTAAGACTGCTTAACCCTGCCTTAATGTTGGGTAGGCTATTGTCTGATTGCCAGAGAATATGTTAGGAATCTTACTTCTCAATCTGTACTTTTAAAAACGGAATCTTGGTCTTAAGATGGAGTCTTTTCTGTTCTTACTATACTGTGTATATCTTGGCATTTTTCATCATAGGTAGGCAAAGTTAATTATGATGCTTGTTTCATGTCCCTGCCCTATGTCAAATCTGTTTGTTAAAGTAAGAACAGATTATCTGCTTAACATTTAATATTCAGCTACAAATTTTTATAAGATTCACACTCAAAATACACAATGGTTATGATAGGAACAGAAAAAGATACAGTAGACAAATCTTAACCCAAAGAAAGCTACCATAGTAGTACTAATATCAGAGCAAGCTAGATCTTATGGTAAAAATATGTATTAGTAGGCATAAAGGGGGCAATTACTTAATGATAAAAGGAATAATTCAAAAGGACATTAAAAGAATTGTGAACCTATATGCACCAATAAAATAGTCTCACGATATATAAAGCAGTAATCAGAAGAATTACAATGATTGACAAATGCACAACCAAACAGGAAGATTTAAATATACCTCTCTTAGAAACGAAGACTTTGAAAAATTAGAAGAAATTAATGAAAAGGAAGACCAAAAAATTGATAGAATCAATTAAACCAAAGGCTGGCTCTTTGAAAATATTAATAAAATGAACAAAACACAAATCAAGAAAAAAAAAAGAATTCCCAGGTAAACAATAGTAGCAATACAAAGAGCAATGTAACTATTCCTATATAGAGATTTTTTTAAATTACAAGAATATTATGAACAAAAAACTATTTTCTTAAAAATGTAAATTACTAACACTGGTTGAAGGTGATATATAAAAATTTAAATATAACTATATAAGGAAATGAAGTCAATAATAGTATTTTTTAAATCCAACCAGAAAAAGCGCATCAAATCCAAATGATTTTGTCAGGTGAGTTTTTTACCAAACCTACAAAGAACAAATGGTTTCTGAGATTTAAAAAAAAAATGTTAAGGGAGGAAAGAGGAACTACCTGAATCAAAAAAAAGAATCCACAAAACAAATACTATAGACTAGTTTCAGTTATGAACATAGTTGAAAAAATCCTAAATAAAATGTTATGAATCATATCCAGCACATATTTTTAAAAATATATTATGACCAAATGGTACTTATTAGAGGAATGCAAAGATAGTTCAACATTAGCATATCTAACAATATAATTCAGTCTATTATCTTCAGATGGAAAATACTATTATAATTGACATTTCTTTAAGTATAATCTATATTATTTATTATGTAGCTTATAAGTGCTCTTGTTGGTGGGGGGGGTGTTAATCTCCTTTCTGCCCCCATAGAGCATCACAGTAACTTGCATATACTAGGTTTTTAAAAAATTCAGTTAGCCATTGCAGCATCTTAGCTGACGCCCTTAAGTATCCATTCATTCATTCATCAGCAAA